CAACCACTGTCCACAGCTGACTTTGCCAGCTTTGTTCAGGTCCAGCACCACCGGCACTGGCTGTGAGAGAAAATCACTGCCGACAAACCAAAAAGAATTCCACCGGTTGTGTGTGTCCCTAAGGGTCCAAGTACGTGCTGAGGATGGACTTCGAGACATTTCCGTGGAGCAGGGCATTTTGCTCAAGCTGGGGTGTCTTGGAGCCATGGGGCTGCTAAAAGCTGCCCAGAACCGAAACCGTGCGCCCCCCTGTCCCAGCTCCACACGTGCTACATGATGGAATCATGCTTGAGGATCATACTTTAGATAGACTTTAGTGGATTATACTCTAGATCTCCTTTAGAATCATCTATAGAGTCATCCTGGGGCACCCTGGTGCCAATCCCTGCTGCTCTGCCAGCACCCCGGTGCCACTTTTCTTTGCTCGAGCAAGATCGTGCTTGGCATCATTGATCATAGTTGCCTACCCTTTGCTTACCTTGGCAGCAGCGGCCATGGTGGCATTGATTCAGGATGAACGCTTGCCTCTGAAACATCTTTTCAAACCCATTGCGATACACATCGGTGTTGCTTGGTACTCTAAAGCTTCAAGCGGTGACCCTTTGAAACAACAAAATGCTGCCATGATACATCAGGGGAAAGGTTAACTACAATTGTCCTGTGTCCCCTGAGGTTGAAGGAGAGGAAATCCATTCTATGCTCAAGGCCCACTTTGAGTCGAAGGTTGGAGAACTCATGGAACAAGACACTATGATCAACACCATGTGCTGGTCACTTTTACTTTCAAGCAAATTCCTCATATGGTCATACAGCTGTGTGGCTGTCTCACTCTGTATCTAGTCCTAACTTAAGGATAGGGTGCTGATAAAGTGGGACAAGGAACGCATGATTGCTCCCTGGTTGCACCTCAAGGTTGGTCAACAAGTATGCACCATTCTTCATGCTCTTGGGGGTCCAATAGCTGCGCCAATACTTAGATCGCAAGGTCCATGAAAAGGACATTGTGAATCACTATGACCTCCTCAAAGAGTACCTCATTCGCTGGGCACCTGAGCCTGATGGTCTACCAGACTTGGAGCACCACAAGGCTCCCATATGTACTTACATGATCACGTGGGCACCTGCAAGTATTCAACTATTGTTATAGATACGTCAATAGTTATACACCCAGACCATTCGAGTGCAGGCGGCAGTGGCACTCTTGGCTGTATCTCTTAACCTCTTCCCGAACGAGCTCTACTTGCAAAAGGGTGGGCGTGGTTTAGTGAAGGACTGGTGGTGCTGTCTTACATGGTACCTGTATGTCACATGGCATGCTACATGTATGCCAGGTGCTGGTTTGTTGAGCTGCAGGAGCGGGCTGGGACGGAAGCCTCAAAACTTCGAATGCTGGCTCAACATGTTGTCCGAATCACGCAGAGAACTCAGGAAGCAAGGTGGGGTTTGTGCGTGTGTGGGGGTGTTGCTGCACATGTACATGTACATGTACATGTCAATATATGTGTTCCAACTGCAATGCAGGAACCCAAAGATTCGGGTGTTGAAGAATATAGTGGCACATGGACGGGGCTTGGCAGTGATGGCAGATCTGGAAATGAATCCAATGACTCCGGATGAAAAGCAAAAACAGGAGATGGCATGCCTTTTCCTTTTCCATGTGCACTCATGTTTGACTCTTTGTCACCTGATCTGCCTGGTTGGTGTTTGTTTGGTAGTGGTTAAGATTGGAAGCTCCTGCCCTCTTTAGGAAGATGCTTCTTGGCCTAGGTATGTCTTGACTTCAAATTTCTGGGAGTCCAGGACTTGGCCCTAAAGAGCTTGCCATCTACAGACACTCTGGCCATTGACGAAGCCCCAGAGGACTGTGAACTTGGGAGGCTAGTTGAATAGGTCAGAATGAATGCTAGTTGCAGGACCCTTTGGAGTTCACCCCGAAGAAGGAGGAAAGGCTGCCGCTGACTCCTTGTTTTGACCCGGAGAAGGAGCTCCTTGTTTTTTTCTAGCAGCACTACAGCACTGCATACCTGAAAGTATGAAGTATAGTGTGTACATGCACCAGGAT